TTGATTGAAGGTATTTGCGTGAATACTATGTGTTATGAATTCGTATTGTGATACGTTATGTATATATATATATATATATATATATATATTACAATAACCAAATTTTTTATTATTATTTTACTCCGTCAGTTTTATTCCTTCCGCATTATCTCGGCAATTTATGGATAACAAAGGCATCATTGAATTTTTTTTATAACACATGTGGTCAATATTTTTTCATTTTTTAATAGACTCGTGTATCCATTATGCCTAAAACTAACATGCACATGAATTGACATGATAAACTTTTAGTCAAGGATAAGAATAATAAACTTTTAATTTCGACAAAATAGGTTAACAATGGCAACAAATAATCTAACTACTTTGAAAATGATTTAGAAAATAATTTAATAAATAAATAAATAAATTGTCACATTATCTTCAATTTTTACATTCATTAATAATTTTTTTATATACAAACATTGCATTTTACTTGTATGCTCACATGGATACATTGTCTCACTTGGAAAAAAATGACTTTCATCCTTTCAATTCACTTTCGTTTTGCCAAACACCCCATCATAAGGCTCACAAATCTTCTTTATTTCTATATTAGACTCTCGAGCCTTGGTATTTTTAAATAAGACCTCCATATTATTTAACTTGGTTGAAACTATTGGCCTTCTTGTTTTGATGATGTTTAACAAACAATTTACAACTAATATTGTTTGTCTAGTATTTGTGTTTTTGTATCTATTCTAGGCAAACAATATGTTGGAGGATGGATGGAATAGAGCCTCAACGATCATATTCAATGGAGGTTGGCAAACAATATGTTGGAGGATGGATGGAATAGAGCCTCAACGATCATATTCAATGGAGGTTGGCGGAATTGTGGAGTGAAGCTTATGCAATTCAAGTTCAAGATCCAAGTTCAAACTTCATCCGCAAGATTACCAAGTCAAGCTATTGAAGATCAAGATCTAGCTTGGGTAATTTAGTTTAGGTTTTATATTATGTGTGTTAAGTACCTTAAGCTTGGGTAATTTAGTTTAGGTTTTATATTATGTGTGTTAAGTACCTTAAGCTCAATATCATATACACACACGTATTTGGTTTCTATGTATATATATAGTTATATATATACATGCATGGTTTTGGGTTTTCATGTTTACAAATATGAAATTACATATTTCATATTTATTATTGTGATTTGGTTTAACTACTTAGATATGAAACAAATATATTTTCATATACATACTCATATGTTTCATTTTCTATTGTATTTGTAAAAATATTGTATTATTAGTTTTTGGATTTAACAATAATCATATACATATTTTATTAAGTCTACATAATCATTGTGCAAAGTTTCAAAACATGGTTTAGCCAAAATGTTAAAATTCACATGTTTACATTTTTATGTTTTGGCCTATTTTGTAAAATGATGATATTTTTCATTTAGTAAGTCCTTTTTGAAAACCAGTCATTGTAGCATGTTTATTATCATGTCTACAATCATTCCCCAAAGTTTTATATTTTTTAGAATTTATTTGATATTTTTAAACAGTATTTTAAAATCAGCAAACTGTTTTCAAAACCTGGATTTTCATATATCAGTTCACGGTCGACCGCCACGGTCGACCGCGCCTGAGTTCATTCGTCAGTGGGCAGCAGAGACTTTCACGGTTGACCGCCACGGTCGAACGTGAGCTCGAGATTTCCTATGGTCGACCGCCACGGTCGACCGCCGAAGTCTCTGGAGCATTTTCCTGTTGTTTTTGTTGCTCGCGGTCGACCGCCGTTTATCCCAACGGCTCTTTTGGTACAGAATCAGATTTCTGATTTTTGGGCTGTTTGGTCTTTTTTCTTGGGGTTTTTGCTATTGTTTCCTCTTCCTATATAAACCCCCAAACCCCTTCTATCTCAGCAACCCAATGGATAGTTTTAAAAAAGTTTAAAATAGTTTTGAAAAGAGTTTTAGTTGGGTTCAAAGTCTGTTTGGTTTGTGAAGATTGTTTTACAAGTGGAGAAGATCATCTATAGTGTTTGAACTTCATCTTAATCCTCCTCTCCAACTTGATTTTCAGAGAAGAATTCCTAAACTCTATTTTCTAGCTATTTATCGTTTTTGTTCATAATTCCTATATGCTAGATTTTAATTGAGTTTAATTATTTTGATTTCACTCATTGTTTACACACACCCACATAAGCTTATTGTATTTTTATACATAGTATATTTGGGTTGGTGAGAGTTGTAACAATTGAGTGTGAGCTTTCATTGTGTTCTCATCCATATTAGAGAACAATCATTTGTTGTATTTGTGCTTATCGTGAGATCACTTTGTAATACACTTGTACACCGGAGTGACGTCGGTTGACGAACCTAGGGAGAGGTTATAACCGAGCACTTGAGGGAGACACGGGTAGGTCCAACACTTGTGAGGGTGTAGAGTGGGTTTGCAAGAGTGTGAGTTATAGAGTTTTCGGTTAGCTAGAAAACCGAGTGTGTAGAAGTTTCGGCTTCCAAACCGGATTGTGGTAGTGGATTTCTCCCCGGGAGTGGGGAGCGGAGACGTAGAACGGAAGGTCCGAACTCCGTGATCATTTGAGTGTGTGAGTTTGTCATTGGCGCATTTGCTTTTGCATTTATCTTATATCGCCAATTGTGCATTGCTCATTTTATTTCATCCACTATCTTGTTTATGTTTATTTCACCATTGTGTTAGTTTATATATCCTTACATATATTTTTATCATATAGGATATATCTCATTGTTCATTTTGCTTATCCTAGCTCATATATATTGTTGTATTTCATACTTGCTAGGATAACTTGTTAATAAGTTTTAATTGGCATAAAATCGGATTAGATTAGCATAAGACCCTAATCACCCCCCTCTATTGTCTAATAGAAACTCTCTACTAAATTTAATCTAAGTTTGTAAAATTTTTCTACGAGGAATATTTTATGGACCGTTATGCGTATGCTCACATTAGTAGTTGGATCTAGCTTATTGTAAAGGGAAAATTGCTTCTTGCCCCAATTTTCTTACAAGTATTCCGCCCATCTTCAAGACTTTTTCAACACTCCCAAAAACTCCAAAAGCAAAGCCACAATTCTCTGAATCCCCAAAGCACAAAACCCAAGAGTTTAAAACGTGTGAAGACCATAATACATCTCTCTCTCTCTCTCTCTCTCTCTCTCTCTCTCTCATGATTTCACTATGATGATTTGAAATAGATTGGGGGGGGATTCTTCTCTCTCTCTCTCTCTCTCTCTCTCTCTCTCTCTCTCTCTCTCTCTCTCTCTCTCTCTCTCTCATGATTTCACTATGATGATTTGAAATAGATTGGGGGGGGATTCTAGTTCCCTCCAACTTTTTCCAATGGTGTCGACATCGGCGATGAAACTTTCTCGACGTTCGTTCATGAGGCAAAGAAAATTGCGATCTTGAAGACGATGATGACGAGTTGTGATAGATTTAGTGTCGTCGTTTCGAAGAAAAAGGAGAGAACTCCGGTAATTCCCTGTGTAATTTTTTTTCTTTTTTAACTTGTATTTAAATCGGAGTGCTATATTTTTTATTGTTTTATATATTGTTGTAATTTTTTTGAAATCAATGACTTGATATCAAAGTAGAGTCTGTAAATGTGAAGCTTACGAGTTGGTTGTCAAGGTTATGGTTGTAAAAGTTACGAGTTGGTTGTCAAGGTTAAGCGTTGGTTGTGAAGGTTATGACTTTGTTGTGAAGGTTACGAGTTGTTTGTAAATGTTATGAGTTGGTTGCGAGCCTCGGAAATG